AAATAAATAAATATTAATAATTTATGTTGGATTTTTGTATAAGACAATTTTTCTAAAAGCATCCTATCTCCATTGCAATCAAAATATTTTCATGATTTTTCAAGTGAAAAGAGTCAACGAATTCTATCCAAACAGAAAACAAAAAGTTTCTGATAACAGAAAATACAATTCATTGAAAAAGGAAAAAAAAAATACAATTCATAATTAGTTCTTCTTCCTGAAAATGTAAACACTAGTCTCCTCGTAAGCGTAATCGGGATGCAAATCTTCGTGTGGAACCTTCTCGATGGAGAAAACAGTCTCGCATAATTCCCAGAACAACTTATCCGCCTCTGGCGATCTCAACTGGTACCCTAACAGCACCACGCCGTCATCCGCCACCAGTGCCTCCATGGCCCCCACAAGCTGGCCCACGGACTCCTCAATGTAAACAACATCGGCAGCGATCACGATGTCGAAAGGCGGATTCGCGGCCCTGATTTGGTCCTGGTTGTTCCAGTACATAACGGCGGTCTTTAGGCTTTTGCCGAGGACGGATTTGTTGCGTTTGAGGTTGTGCTTGAGAGCGGGCATGACGGGAGAGATGTCGGTGAGTATGAGATCGGTGAGGCCGAGGAGGTGGAAAGCCATGCCAGCGGCACCACATCCTGTGCCGAGCTCGATGGCACGGCGTCGGCGGAAATCGAGGAGGTTAGAGTAGGGGTTGTTGGGGGCGTGTAGGGCCCAGCGTTCGGCGAATTTGGCGAGGACTAAGGAGCACGGCCAGACGGAGGTGCCGACGTGTATGGATCCGTTGTCTTGTTGGAGGGAGAGGACGGCGTCGCGCACCGGCAGTTCGATCACTGGTGAATCTGTGAATTTCATCGTAGCGCGTGCGTTGTAGAATTCACGGCTTTGTCGCTGTAATTTAATGTGTCGGCTTGGGCTGGGCTTAAACTTTATGCTTGGGTTGTGCTTTGAAAATATCTTGAGGTGAGATATTGGACTTCAAAAGATGTTGGCCTAAAATTAAATAGAAAAAAGATCCACAGTCCGTGTACAGTGCTTTAATAATTATATATGTTTGGTAATCTTTCTATCGAACAATTATAAAATATATAATTTATGCAAATTATACTATAAAATAGTATTTTGGCGACCTGTGACCTTTATGATTTAATTGGATTAAGAAAAGTTCAACGCTTTATACAAAAGGGTGCGAAGTTTTCTTTTGACAATGATAATGGTTAATATATTAGGTGAATTATTTATTAGAAATTAGAAATTCAATCCTCAAATAAATTGAGCGCGTCACTCCCTCCTTATTGAGCAGCGCAGCCCAACTAGTGAGCCAATGGTGAAGTTCAGGGTGTGCAGTTTAAAACCAAAACCATTGATGAGGGGTGAGAAATATAAATGTGGGGTGGTTGCCTTTTACCAGACTACTGCAAAATCGATTTCTCATATTTATAATTTACCCTTTTTTCATTTCTACCTTTTTTTCCTGAGAATATTTTAGAAACAGAATGAGTTGATGCCATTAATGTATTAAACCTAATAGAGACCGGAGTTTTTCAATCCAAATTGGCTAAAAAAATGCCAGTCTAAGCTGAAATGACATTTTTTCAGCTAGACGTAACTTTGTTTGTCTAATATATTTCTCTTGTAATTTCCTTGCTATTTCAATGGTATTTCAAGCATTGGTATACCATACAATTTAATATAATACATGGTACATCTATTAAAAAATTATTATTTTTTGGTATAAAATTAAAAATAGACAAATTTAAAAATATAATCATGAATATAACATGTAAAAACTAGTTAAATTGACTATACTTTATTATATTTTAATAGTTGAAGTGAGCGGATATCGAAAAATAAGTTAAATTGAAGAATATATTAATCATTTTCCTTATTTCAAAAGATAAAGTTTAATTTATAAGAACTTGATTAGTATACTCTCAGTTTAATATATTATACAATATATTTATTAAAAATCATTGTTTTCTTATTTGAATTAAAGGTAAAAAAAATTTAAAAATATAGTTATGCATAGAACATTCAAAAACTAGTTGATTCAATTATACTTATATCATATTTTAGCAATTGAATTAGATAGATATCAAAAAGTGTGTTAAATTGTATCGAAGAATGTGCTAATCATTTTTGTAATTTATATGATTAATATATATTATATTTTAGTGAGAATTTGGATATTAATTTCCCATTCATATTTTGACCAATTGATCATGGCTAAAGCATTTCTGAGTCTTGAATATGTGTATCTACTTCTGTATGTCTAGCTAGACGCAAAGGAGAAACCCTAGTTATATGTGACCCAGTATCCACTGCCACCGGTTTTTGCTCATGTCTTTGTTCATAGGCCCAATTTTGCTTTTGGAAAAGGCTAAAAGGACAGAAGCTAGAAGGACACATGAACTTGAGGGATAAGCAAAAGGAAAACACATGATGACAATTATTTTCTTTCCCTTGCCAAAGTTGCCAATATTTAGATGGTGACTGTGCCAAAAGCTAAGACTTGGGACTTTGGTTTGATTTGGCACTACTAGAATTCATTATTTCACCAATGAAAAATCACCAAGGAAACAAAGGGAATGACGTCGGTGAAACAACCTTTCCACTTGAATCACATCGAAAATGCTTTGTCGGTGAAAGTAGGCTTAGTAATTGGTTTACCGACGTGGATTAAAGTCACGTCGGTAAACCTACAACCAATTACAGACAAGAAATTCCTTTCCAATATTAAGCCGGAATAGTAATATCGTAGCCTCTTCTAGTATTCCACATCGGTAAATTACTGACTAGAATCACATTTGGAAGTTTATTTGGCTTTTTTCCTCTCTCCAAATCACCGACGAACGTAACATTGGTGAAGCATTCTTACTGAATTAATCTACAAAAAAATAGTTTCATTTACCGACAAAGATAACATCGGAAAAATAAATATACAAAAA